GGGGCTAGAGTAGTCGTCACACAGCCCGGATGGTGGGTTGACCGTTCCGTAGCGGCGGGAACCAGGCTGGATGGACGCGGACGAGGTTGTAGGGATATTGCTTGTTGTTGATAGGAATGTGCGACGGAGTGGGATTCCAGACTGAGGTGTTGAGGCTGATGGAGTAGTGGTAGTCGTAGTGCGGAATGGAGGAGTATGGTGGTGATGCTGGTTGCTTGGGGAGTTCTCCTGCTGGTGGTTGGCGTATTCAGGTGTACATTCGCGGGATGAGCGGTGGAAACGGTCTCTGCCCAAATGCATGTTGTCTGCCACGGTCATGGAGCGGGTGACGGGGTGCAGAGAACTGTTTGTGGTGGGTTGGAGCTTGGTATCATACTCTTCTTGTTCCTGTCGTCTCGCACGTAGTAGAGAAGAGCGGCGGTTGACTCGTGATTGTGACGGGGTCGTTAGATGGGTCGTTGACTGGTCTGGTACCTCTTGGGGTGATGCTTTTAGGGTCGTCATGCTAGGAGAGAGATTGAGTGCGCTGGTTCGCCGGCTGTGGGAGTCGCGGTTAAGGGATGATTGAAGGCGGTTGAAGTTGAAGTCCTCGGGTTCATGGCTTACACTTCGACGGTATGGCGTCCCTGGCTCGCCTTCACCTGCGGAAAAGATCTTCACGGTGGTAGCATCTCGACTCCCTGGCCTTGATCTGGAGAGGGTAACGGGCCGTAGCTTGTCTTCGGAGAGAGCAAGGCACAACTCGGTAAGGCCCCTGCATACGCCATCAGCCTTTCGACGCAGGACGCGGTCCGGACTGCTGGCCGAAGTAACGACAGACATGCTGCTGGTATGTGGCATGCTCGAAGTCAAGGCAGTGGAAAGGTTGATTGCATCCGTTGCCGTAGACTCGAGAGCTTGGTAGACCTCCTGGGTCAGAACCGGTTTTGCCTTGGCCAGGGCACTGTGGAGTAGAGGATGAACCTGGCTGACCGTGAAGCTTGGATCGGTATCTACCGGTATCGGCGGAGCAACGGGGGGCGAGTTGGAGCTGGCCTTTTGTTTATGTTTTGGTGATGAAGATACGGTCGTTACCGTGGTGGTGGCCGTTCGGGGCCGTTCTCCCGCCATTGAGGACATGGCTGCGGCAGACGAAGAAGGGAGTTTTCCGGTCAATTCGAGCTTTCGAATCCGTGACTTTAGATCATCAAGTTCATCCCAGATGGTGGATGGAGCAGTAGTTGACATGGTGGACTCTGTTCCATCATTTTTGGACTTTGTAGTTGTATCTGTTCCTATGTTCCGATCCGTTCCCGATTCGTAGCTTGTCATTGCCCGGGTCTTGCGAGAACTAACCAGGCTAGATTTGTATGGTTTTTTCTGAGCAAAGTCGGGAACTGAGTCACGTCTCTCTGGTATGTAGCGCTGTGAGTGCTCAGGGGATAGTTCATCATTCAAGCGTGATGGTCTTGTGCGTCCAATGGTTGAGGCTGAACCGGAGTTGCTGAAGAACCGAGAACGGCCAGTTTCGTCTAGCGGGTGAGCTGAAGCAGGGGCTCTGGAAGGGGGGAGTTCATAGTTACCCCTGGGTGAGGTATCTTGAGAAAAGGAGGAGTAGTGGCCTCTGTCTGATGAAGGGGTATCTTCAGTTGTCTTTGCGCGGGAAGAGAGGCCAAACTTAGACTATTTAACGATGTTAGTATCTTTGGCGCATGTCTTTCCTTTTTTTCAGAAAGGATTCATGTACATACCCTCCGCCTAGCCTTGGAATCAGAACTGAGTCGACTAGAAGTCTGCGCTAT